GTTCGATCGAGAGAGAGCTTTAATTTAATTGCTGGGTCAAACGATGTAAAGTTTAAAGTTTGCATTACGGACGCAATTCTTATTGTTCGACGAGCACGAATTAATCCAAGTGTATTACTCGCACATCAAAAAGTTTTAGCTTCTACCACTGCTAAATATCCTATTACTCGAGCTGAAGTAAAAGTTTTAACAATTCCATCGGGTGTTCAAGGAAAAACTCTTGATAATATATTTTTAGGGCAGGTACCCAAAAGATGTATAATTGGATTTGTGAACAATTCTGCATTTAATGGTTCCCTTACTAAAAATCCATTTAACTTTGAAAACTATGGTATTAATTCTTTCAGCTTATATATTGATGGTCAACAAATACCTTCAAAAGCTTTGCAACCATCTTTTAATAATAGCATATTTACATCAGCATATCATACTCTATTCTCGGGAACTGGTATTCACTTTCTTAATGAAGGAAATGGAATCTCTTGTGAACAGTATGCCAAAGGTTACTGTCTATTAGCATTTGACTTAACTCCTGATTTATCAGCCAACTCAATCAGCTCATTGGAATCTCATAAAGCATGGTAGTGTAAGATTAGAAGTACGATTTGAATCCTCACTAATACAAACAATTAACTGTATAGTTTATGCTGAGTTTGATAATATTATTGAGATAGATAAAAACAGAAATGTTACTGTAGACTATAGTAGTTAAGGTTATAATATGTGTTGTGTGTTAGATTTTATGAGTTATGTGTAATGCATTTTGTGTGTATGTAACTATGTGAAACATTATAAAATTAAATAAAACAAATTGTATGCAATATATTATTTTTTATTTCTTTATAAATATTCTATTTAATCTAATACAAAACTCTGTTCGAGTTTAAATTTTACATAAGCACACTGACTAAACCACTGAACATGCTGCTGCCAAGGATCATCATCATCTTCCCAATCTTTTAAGCCACCACCACAATGGAAACACTTGGTCCTGTCTGCATGGCCAGTATAAAAGAAACCGGCTTCTGCAAGATCTTCAGGTTTCTGTCGCATAACGAGAGGCCAGTTTTCGAAACTGAGCAACCGGCTAGATTTTGAACTGAAGAATGGATATTCAGCTCTTGAGTACTGCATATTCTCGTTTTCATCTCCACTCAGTGTTGTAGTTTTGTTCTTCAATGATGTGTTCTGTACACGTATGCCACACTCATCTCTTTCTTCTGCTCTTGTCTTCCTGTAATTTAAGTAAACAGAATCACATTCACTAATGATCAGCTAATGACTGTCATTGTTAAAAAAGTATTTTTTAACTTTTTCACTTTCTGCTATTGTCTTTGTAATATTGTATACGAGGGCGTTTGTGTTGTCGTAGATGCTATCCTTATTAGTCTTTACGTAATATTTAATCCTCGTGGAAGCATGTTTCCAATGATCAGTAGTTGGAATCTTGGATAGCTTCTTCATATCGTACATTTCAATTTTGATGAGATGCGTCGCTTGGTCTCCGTCGTCAGAATTAGTAGAAATGTATGATACACCATCTCTAGCGGCTCGTGCTACGGTTGATGATAACAGCTTCCTCTTTTTTATTTTTGATTCAGCTTCAAAAAAATGATCAATCGATTGCGATTTTCTTTTTCCACCATCGCATGTGTTATTATTAATGACGATGTCATCACTCTCTTCTTGAGGGGAGAGTGGCGAGTAGTAATACTGTTTATAGGTATTTTCATCGAAGCTCAATGATTTCTGCAACAACACAGTTATCATGTTAATATCAATTTGTTAACACTTAATCATAAAAGTTAAAAAAGCTAAAGTTACAACCTATTAAAGTCCACTGCTGAACATAGGCCTCCTCTCATTTCTGAGAGGGTTTTAGGGCTAGGAAATGTTCGCTGCGATACCTCAATGCGTGTTGGCAAACTTCACATGCCTTCGAAATTTTCTCAGACATGCATTCCTCACGATGTTTTCCTTCACCGCTGAGCACGTGGTAAATCAGCACTTAAAATTGTAATTAACAATTTAATTGGTGCCGGCGGGGATCGAACCCGGGACGTGTACTATGAAGTTTACATTTTGCGCTAACCATCTGAGCTACCACGGCTTAACCATATACACACACATAATATTTAAATATAATTTGTTAACACTAAATCATACACACGTAAGAAAATAACAGAAAGAAAAGTAAGTTTGTCAATAGAATAAACACTTACATCCATGGCCTTTGATGCGTTGAAGTAACACAAATGTAGTATTGATAGATCCACTGCGGTCAAACGACCATACACTAACTCCATGACTGCAGTTGCTTGGTCTTATATAGTACCAGTGAGTAATAATTCTAATCTAAAGAATTTCTGCAGTAGAATTGATAGTATCTTTATGCGTCAACAAGCTTACCTTACATTCTGTTGGTTATCTCTACATTCCTACGTCCTTCCTGTCATGTCTTGTTCAGTGTATTGGTGACTCAAATACGTTTTGTATAACACAAAGAAAGCAATTTAATATTTAGATATCACTATAATTGATCATTCCTATATTAGTCATTGAGTAGATTGGTACTGTAATAATCTACTAATAGCAGTAATATTATGGATACACTAGATGTACAACAACATCTGAAAAAGATTCACCCCACTCTAGAAAATAATGTTTATGCTGCCAATAAACTACCCATGTACACCCACGTACCAACGTATATAATATGCAATTTGGATACAGATGATAAACCAGGGTCACATTGGGTATCTTTATATATCGATACGAATGACGTCGGTCAATATTTTGATTCATTCGGACGGGCACCTGTACGATATCATCTAGAGTTTTTTAAAAGAAATTGTAAAAGATGGAACTGGAATGTTGATAGGATTCAGAATGAGTGGACTTCAGTTTGTGGCGAATATTGCTTAATGTATTTGCTATATAAGTTTCAGGGATGTTCAATGCATAGTTTTACGAGTATATTTACAGAGAACACATTGTACAACGATATTTTAGTGGATGAGATGTTTCGCTCCTATTTTATAGATATTAAGTAATAAGATTTTGTATTTCATAAATAAAATTTTTAACAAAATTAGGTAATGTGTTTTATTGATGATTCAGATTAGTGTTGTAGATAGGAACAAAGGAGTATAATACAATAGCATAAGCCGACCCACACGCTGGACGAATAATAGATAATGACGGTAGTCAATCAACAATAGATAAGTAAATAAGGACAATGGAGCGCTAATGACGGTTGAGGCTCGTAGCGGATATCAATTAAAAAAGTAAAGTAAAGTAAAGTTACAGCCTATATACGTCCCACTGCTGGGCACAGGCCTCCCCCCTCATTTCTGAGGGGGGTTTTAGGGCAAGGAAGTGTCCGCCGCGCTGCCCCAATGCGTGTAAAAATATCAATTAGATAAGAGTTAATTGATCTGCACATCTCCGGAACCGTGTATCCTACGCAAAAATGGACCGCAGATTCGTGATCAGAGCATGCCAAAACTTAGGATCGTGAGTCGACGAACGTTGTACTTGTACCACTTCTGACTCAGTGCGCCAGAACTGGTACAACCTTTCTACAAGTGCGCCAGAACTGGTACAACGTAACTACTTTTGCCTCACAAGTTTCCTTGTCAAAATCGGTATACAGAAAAACCACAAAGATGTTTACTATCAAAACTAAATGCCAAATCTAGGTCAGAAACAGTTGCACATGCAATTGCCACTACTTTACAAGAAATTGAGCATAGATATGTTGTCGATCCTCTTACTACTCTAGATGATAATATTGACATTGATCCCTTGCCTGAACAATATATAACTACGTTTTTAATCATAATAATAATGCGACCCTTTTTCACAACTTTTTCACAACAACAGGAATTTTTTTAACCATAAAAGCCACAAAAAGGTCAGGGTGCACTTAAGAAGAATAAAAAAACAAAACTGGTTATAGTCAGATAGTAAGTAGGTAGGTAAGGAATGTTTACGTATTTTTGTTATACCTATACTTATCATTAGCAAATGAAACCCAGAAGTATTAATGTAATAATGGGTACCTAGGTTATAAAAATATTATCTTATTCTTATGCGTATTTCAGCCGCGACAAAATCTTAGTTTTTTAGAAAATATTCCGCCACCATCATGTCACGGACTACTGGAAGGTTGTTAGATTGGCCCTTTTGAAACACTTCTTCCATCATTAAATACTTAAAAACGCTAGAGCGCACGAGGGAATACAACTCACCCATGAAATATTACTACAAACGTATGATCGGCCGCATGGAATCGATGACGTCACGCGCTACTCGCGGGCACGGGCGAGATTTTTAAAATGTACGTAAACTTTCCACATTTATAACTTCGGTAATAGTGCACCGATCGATGTGAAATAAAAACTAGAATTATGTGTTTGGTCTAGACTTCTTACCTACGTACTTAAAAGTCTAATATTGTAACCTCGTTCGAAAGGATTTCACCTAACTTAGATTTTCAATACCGTTTCAACCGATTTGGACCAGTAGATTTGAGAAATCGCGAAGTTAAAATTTCCAAAAAAATGTTTTAATAACTTTTAAACAGATGTAACCGATTGCTGCAAACCGCTTCAAAATCGGTCAATATGTTGAAGAGAAATCGATCACTAAAAATTTCGAAGTGTTTTTTTCATATAATTTTTGAATTTATATTATATCACCATAACAGTTTCTTTCATAATAGATTTTATTATTGTACTTAACTCAATTACATCAAAATCGGTTGATCAAAAATTTTGATTTTTTCTTTTTAATAGCTTTCGCTTTCTGTTCGGATCGTTTTTGATGTAACGAGTTAACTACTAGTTCGTAAAATATTTGTCGAGCGTTTTGAGATCAAACATAGCGGGAAGTTCCAGGGTTGGCCTGCAGAGTCAACAGAACCTTTAACATAGGTAATTTAGATACGATGGATTGAAACTTTAAAAAAAATTAGATATGGTTTAAAGTTAACTCACCATCGCTAAATATAAACTCGCCAAAAAACAAGAGGGGCAGTGTGTATATTAAAGTGACATCAAAAAGGAAAAGTTCGGTGGAACGTTGCTTCAACCAGTACACAAGCCAGTTAGCGCCTGGATTGTCACATAGCTTAACCACCCGGCCATAACCCTTTGGGGTGTTCTTGGGAAGGGCCATTACGCTACTAGGATGTAAAGACGTTTTGCCTTCCTCTGGAGTATATGCATATACATTAATCTGTTTATTAGGCTTCCTTGACTTCAAGTTGGACCATCTACAATAAACACATTTAGATAAAAATATTACACTTAATTGCAAATAATATAATGGTTATTTGTGGATTGTTTAATATAACGCCTATTGTATCTCATTATATTATTTTAATAAAGTTGTTAATAGTTATTTTGCAGGTGATGATGACTCTCCGAAGATGCCTCGTGTAGAGGTGAAACACGTCTTTCCTAGAATAGTGGTGTTGGGAGTAGTGGCGTTGGGAGTAGTGTTGCTGGGATTGGCGGTGATGGGATTAGTGCACGCAATTGAGAGAGGGCGGGAGTTGCTCTTCAAACTAGGGAAGACACATCATTTTATTTAATTTAGCGGATGGTTGCAAATTAACTATTAATATGCGGCCGTAAAAAGAAAAGGGGAGATCTCTCGCCGGGCAAGGTGTTCCGCCCGGGGAGCGGCCAACACTGCGTGTGATAGTTCGGAGCTATTCTATATATACTGTTTTTGATTCGGAACTTTGATAGCGTGATTTAGGCTTCGATGTGTTTCGCTTGTGGCGCGACGAAAGCGCCGCCACAAATATCTTTATTACAATTAATTTCCGCAAAGTAACGCCTGATTCTATCAATTATCTTATATTATTTCTTGATCATTATAATTTAGTGTTCGGTAAAGTTGTCTATCAGTCCATAAATAAGTTAAGCTAATACCTATTGCCCTACAGCCGAGCACATAATTATGTTTACTCTCATTTTTTAGCGCGCATCTCAGTTGTTTGAGCAATTATTAGGCCGTGCTGCTTCAATGCGAGTTGGCAAATTTCAAATGTCCCCAAAATATTTGTTTTCTCAGACATTCAGGTTTCTTTACGAAGTTTTCTTTCGCAACTAATGATTGCATTAAATAAATTAAAAAAAAAACGATGGGTTGCACTCCGGGATTGCCGGCAGAAGTGAAAACTTGAATATTAACGTTGTGCATTTTTTATATTTTGGAATGATTAGGGAATAATTTTGCACGAAATGCTTTAATTATCAATATAAAAGTACTATTATTTATGTGCTCGAATACAATATTTATTTATTGCGCTATCGTACACAAACATGACAATTTATATTACATTCACGCAAGCGGCCCCCTAAACGAAATAGCAGGCCGCCACGCAGTAGAAAGAGAGGGGGATACTTCCCCTCCTAAGTCGTCCATCTTACGCATTTTCGATCAGGGTCACGTGTCTTGACGCGAGTTTAACAATTTTTACCTATTACAGAAAAAGTGTCCAACGCCGCTAAAGAAGTTTTCACTTCAATAAGTTAGAGCTAAAAATAGCACTTTAATATTACCTGACGGATGCTATATTAGGATACAAAGCTGCAGCCACGATCGCTTTGAAAAGGCTCAAATTATTTTCGTTTCGATTCTCCCATGATGACTTCACATCGCCCGATGCGAGGAAACCCATTTGCTTTAGATTATCACCCAACTGCCTCTTCATATCAACCAAAAGCTCCAGAGTGTTGTTTGACAGGAAGTGATCGTAAGCGAAATCATGTTTATGTCTTCGCGATACGCAATGTTCCCATTGTAAAATTGCCTCGGATACCGCAATGTGGTCGCTTGGCTCCCCCAACGTAAGGCTACGTTTTGCTTCATCGACCTCTCTCTCTTTGCCTGAAACAAATTTGGAATGTAGGCAAGTGGTACATGTTGCGATGGCACTGTCTCAGAACATCGTGTGTATGTGTGTATGTTTGTTTACGAACCAGAGCGTACAACTGCAGCTTGCGATCTTTAACATGTTGTACTCTCCGGGAATCCGGAGTAATTTATTCCAGGCCGCTCTGAAATCATTCTTGTCTACACCTATATGGAGAAGGAGAAGCAGCTAGACGCGTCCTGCTCCTCAAACTAAACTCCTTTCCATCAAATTAAACTCGAAATCAATTATTTTTATCCTACCCTGCAACAACCCAATATGTAGTTGCATTTGTCCATAGTAGTTTTAATACTTACAACAGTAATTAGTTATTAAAATTTATAGGATTTTTTCCTGTAGAGTGGAAGTATTTTAAATTTATTATACTGTTATTGAAAACTACGCTCATGGACAAATTTAGAGGAACGCAAAAAAATTACAGCCTATATACGTCCCACAGCTGGGACGGCCTCCCGTCATTTCTGAGAGGATTTTAGGGCAAGGAAGTGTCCACCGCGCTGCCCCAATGCGTGTTGGCAAACTTCACATGTCTTCGAAAAAAATTTTTTTTATTCCTCAGACATGCAGGTTTCCTCAAGTTGTTTTCCTTCACCGCCGAGCACGGGGTAAAACAAAACATTATGGATATTTGTGACAATTAAGTTTATTTATTTGGATTTTACTTATTCGTTAATTTAAAATTGCAAACGTCAAAAATCAAACGATCAAATGATAAAAATTTAATAAATTAAGAAAAAAGATCCAAATATGCCTACTGTCCTACATAATAGGAGGCATACACTTGTGACTCTACGGAGTTTCAGCAAAAAAAGGTGCTGATAAGCTGTCCCGTCAAGGTCACCATTAAATGATGTCATCCGAAGAGCTTATCTCTATAAATATTCCCTCGATTTTAGAGCCTTGTGGAATATTTAGAGACAATGGCAATAGACCCAACGGTATGGCTTCGGTCCATCGGGAGCGAGATAAAGCTCTAGCGTAGGAAGCTACTTATGTAGACACTTTGGCAGCCTCTCATCTCAGGGGTACCTCGTTTAGAGCTGGGGCGGCATCAGAGGCAGCGAAACTAAGTGGCGCAAATGTGAGTCTCAGAAAGATGACGACATATTTGTGCCAATTGCTGTAGACACTATCGGTCGGTAGGGTCTACGTGCGGTAAAGTTCCTTAAGGAACTGAATCCACGACTGGTCGTCGCTGTTGGTGATATGAGAAGTCTAAGTATAGCTATTGAATAAAACTAAATTTACGGATTCTATCGCGTTTAATTAACTATGTCATTGTTAGCCCGGCTATCTTCAGTTTTTTAATATTAATTTTTCGATCCGATCTAGCTACGCAAAACGAGCTTACAGTATCTTGAAGTCTTGCAGTGGTATGCTTGGATTTGGGTTTAATTTTGTTAATTATGGGATCCCAAGCAGATGGCAGTACCCATACATCTTCTTTATTGAAATTAGGATGATTTTTTAATTTCAATAGCCCACTAGATTTCTGGTTTATCAAATCTGATGTAATGGTGGGGACGATCTTGTACATGTTCACAGACTGCAGAATTCCCGGAGCGTCGGTGTACCCGCGTGAAAGAACATATAGATGACGTTGGAAACGTCGGGAATTAAAAATAAGTAAAAGTAGTTAATTAAACGCGATAGAATCCGTAAATTTAGTTTTATTCAATGTGTAGTGTTCGCGTAAATTTAAGAAATCATTAAGTATAGCTATTCAGCGAGGAAACTCAGCTAGCGTTGTTAGCACGATAACGCGGGAAGTAGGACTGTATGATTTTTTTATATTTAATATTGTATATATTTCTATGTTACATAAATAAATTAATAACACAATTGCAAAAAAACAAGGACTAACTAGTTACTACAAGCACTCTAGTATACTAGAACTTTCAAAATATTAAAAAAAAAAACTAAATCAGGAATACAATGTATACTTATAAATTATTTATTAACGAATATTTTAAAATTCATTTTAACACAAGTTTGCTTAATTTTGTAATTCTTCTCCTCCTAAATGGATTGATTGATTTTAGATGGTTCACCTGGATAGTTCTTAGCTGTTGTTGGAACCGGTAGGTGGCGCTGCTGTCGATATCCAGAAATCAAGTAAAGCTTGGGCTCTAGATAAAATTAATAGAATGGTGTCCTAGTGTCCTAGGCTTTTCTAGATTTCTCCATTATGTTACTCGAGTCGTGATTATCGGGGTGAGTAGTTAGTTACCGATGACAAGTTGGAAGGGGTCCTTGAAGCTCCAGACGGCTGCGAGGCTGGCGGCGCGGTCCAGGCAGCCGAAGAGTGCGCCGAGCAGCAGCAGCTTGCCGGCCGCCGGGTGCAGCGGCAGGCGCGCCAGGTGCCAGCCCAGCGGCGTCAGCGTCTCGCGGGTGTCCAGCGCGCCGCACCTGCTCGCCGCCCACGAACATTACCATTACCGTTACACACTGCCAAAACTTCACTGCTGCCTTTTTTATAGAATAAAGGTGACAAAGGAGCTCACAGTCCAACTAATGGTAAGTGGATGCTGTAGCCTTTAGACATCTACATTTATCCTCGATTAAGAATCAAAATGCAGATGCGTTTCTACCGCAGTTATAATATACAGATGCAGCATGGCTCTACCATGTTAAAAGTCAAAGTATACTCATGTAAGTATTAACTCATGATAGAATGCGGAAAGAAATACCGATCACTGAACTATGTACTACATAACTTAAATTAAAAAATTTACAACTTTTTTTTTCATAGAATAAGGGTGACAAACGACACAATCCACCTGATGGTAAAAGGATGCTAGACATTTACATTTAACCTCGATTAAGAATCAAAACGCAGATGCGTTTTCACCCCTGAGGACTAAGATTGAATGCCTATCTTCCAGTAAAAAAGGGTCTCCGGATCTCTGTACTCACCCTAGGAAACACAGCAATATTAAGCTGCTATTTTACGTTGGCATTCTGTGAGAGCGTGGTGCTTCCCTGGTCGAGCCAACCCATTCGTGCTACAACAATAATATAGCTGCAGCGTGGCTCTACCACGTATAAAAACTTCCGAAACAAAAAGAACTGATGATTCTCAAACAGTTGAACGAATTTTCTTAAAACATAGCTAAGAACACTATCGATTAAGACACCTTTCAAACGAAAAAAAAAAAACCCATCAAAATCGGTTGATACGTTCAGGAACTATGATTTCACAGATAGACACACAAACGTATATAATACCTCACCGTTTTCGTTGGGGATTATTTAATTAAAATATAACAGAAAACTCAGACAAATACTTTCAGGAACTATGATTTCACAGATAGACACACAAACGTATATAATACCTCACCGTTTTCGTTGGGGATTATTTAATTAAAATATAACAGAAAACTCAGACAAATACTTTCAGGAACTATGATTTCACAGATAGACACACAAACGTATATAATACCTCACCGTTTTCGTTGGGGATTATTTAATTAAAATATAACAGAAAACTCAGACAAATACTTTCAGGAACTATGATTTCACAGATAGACACACAAACGTATATAATACCTCACCGTTTTCGTTGGGGATTATTTAATTAAAATATAACAGAAAACTCAGACAAATACTTTCAGGAACTATGATTTCACAGATAGACACACAAACGTATATAATACCTCACCGTTTTCGTTGGGGATTATTTAATTAAAATATAACAGAAAACTCAGACAAATACTTTCAGGAACTATGATTTCACAGATAGACACACAAACGTATATAATACCTCACCGTTTTCGTTGGGGATTATTTAATTAAAATATAACAGAAAACTCAGACAAATACTTTCAGGAACTATGATTTCACAGATAGACACACAAACGTATATAATACCTCACCGTTTTCGTTGGGGATTATTTAATTAAAATATAACAGAAAACTCAGACAAATACTTTCAGGAACTATGATTTCACAGATAGACACACAAACGTATATAATACCTCACCGTTTTCGTTGGGGATTATTTAATTAAAATATAACAGAAAACTCAGACAAATACTTTCAGGAACTATGATTTCACAGATAGACACACAAACGTATATAATACCTCACCGTTTTCGTTGGGGATTATTTAATTAAAATATAACAGAAAACTCAGACAAATACTTTCAGGAACTATGATTTCACAGATAGACACACAAACGTATATAATACCTCACCGTTTTCGTTGGGGATTATTTAATTAAAATATAACAGAAAACTCGGACAAATACTTTCAGGAACTATGATTTCACAGATAGACACACAAACGTATATAATACCTCACCGTTTTCGTTGGGGATTATTTAATTAAAATATAACAGAAAACTCAGACAAATACTTTCAGGAACTATGATTTCACAGATAGACACACAAACGTATATAATACCTCACCGTTTTCGTTGGGGATTATTTAATTAAAATATAACAGAAAACTCAGACAAATACTTTCAGGAACTATGATTTCACAGATAGACACACAAAAGTATATAATACCTCACCGTTTTCGTTGGGGATTATTTAATTAAAATATAACAGAAAACTCAGACAAATACTTTCAGGAACTATGATTTCACAGATAGACACACAAACGTATATAATACCTCACCGTTTTCGTTGGGGATTATTTAATTAAAATATAACAGAAAACTCAGACAAATACTTTCAGGAACTATGATTTCACAGATAGACACACAAACGTATATAATACCTCACCGTTTTCGTTGGGGATTATTTAATTAAAATATAACAGAAAACTCAGACAAATACTTTTCAGGAACTATGATTTCACAGATAGACACACAAACGTATATAATACCTCACCGTTTTCGTTGGGGATTATTTAATTAAAATATAACAGAAAACTCAGACAAATACTTTCAGGAACTATGATTTCACAGATAGACACACAAACGTATATAATACCTCACCGTTTTCGTTGGGGATTATTTAATTAAAATATAACAGAAAACTCAGACAAATACTTTCAGGAACTATGATTTCACAGATAGACACACAAACGTATATACTACCTCACCGTTTTCGTTGGGGATTATTTAATTAAAATATAACAGAAAACTCAGACAAATACTTTCAGGAACTATGATTTCACAGATAGACACACAAACGTATATAATACCTCACCGTTTTCGTTGGGGATTATTTAATTAAAATATAACAGAAAACTCAGACAAATACTTTCAGGAACTATGATTTCACAGATAGACACACAAACGTATATAATACCTCACCGTTTTCGTTGGGATTATTTAATTAAAATATAACAGAAAACTCAGACAAATACTTTCAGGAACTATGATTTCACAGATAGACACACAAACGTATATAATACCTCACCGTTTTCGTTGGGGATTATTTAATTAAAATATAACAGAAAACTCAGACAAATACTTTCAGGAACTATGATTTCACAGATAGACACACAAACGTATATAATACCTCACCGTTTTCGTTGGGGATTATTTAATTAAAATATAACAGAAAACTCAGACAAATACTTTCAGGAACTATGATTTCACAGATAGACACACAAACGTATATAATACCTCACCGTTTTCGTTGGGGATTATTTAATTAAAATATAACAGAAAACTCAGACAAATACTTTCAGGAACTATGATTTCACAGATAGACACACAAACGTATATAATACCTCACCGTTTTCGTTGGGGATTATTTAATTAAAATATAACAGAAAACTCAGACAAATACTTTCAGGAACTATGATTTCACAGATAGACACACAAACGTATATAATACCTCACCGTTTTCGTTGGGGATTATTTAATTAAAATATAACAGAAAACTCAGACAAATACTTTCAGGAACTATGATTTCACAGATAGACACACAAAAGTATATAATACCTCACCGTTTTCGTTGGGGATTATTTAATTAAATTAAAACAGAAAACTCAGACAAATACTTTCAGGAACTATGATTTCACAGATAGACACACAAACGTATATAATACCTCACCGTTTTCGTTGGGGATTATTTAATTAAAATATAACAGAAAACTCAGACAAATACTTTCAGGAACTATGATTTCACAGATAGACACACAAACGTATATAATACCTCACCGTTTTCGTTGGGGATTATTTAATTAAAATATAACAGAAAACTCAGACAAATACTTTCAGGAACTATGATTTCACAGATAGACACACAAACGTATATAATACCTCACCGTTTTCGTTGGGGATTATTTAATTAAAATATAACAGAAAACTCAGACAAATACTTTCAGGAACTATGATTTCACAGATAGACACACAAACGTATATAATACCTCACCGTTTTCGTTGGGGATTATTTAATTAAATTAAAACAGAAAACTCAGACAAATACTTTCAGGAACTATGATTTCACAGATAGACACACAAACGTATATAATACCTCACCGTTTTCGTTGGGGATTATTTAATTAAAATATAACAGAAAACTCAGACAAATACTTTCAGGAACTATGATTTCACAGATAGACACACAAACGTATATAATACCTCACCGTTTTCGTTGGGGATTATTTAATTAAAATATAACAGAAAACTCAGACAAATACTTTCAGGAACTATGATTTCACAGATAGACACACAAACGTATATAATACCTCACCGTTTTCGTTGGGGATTATTTAATTAAAATATAACAGAAAACTCAGACAAATACTTTCAGGAACTATGATTTCACAGATAGACACACAAACGTATATAATACCTCACCGTTTTCGTTGGGGATTATTTAATTAAATTAAAACAGAAAACTCAGACAAATACTTTCAGGAACTATGATTTCACAGATAGACACACAAACGTATATAATACCTCACCGTTTTCGTTGGGGATTATTTAATTAAAATATAACAGAAAACTCAGACAAATACTTTCAGGAACTATGATTTCACAGATAGACACACAAACGTATATAATACCTCACCGTTTTCGTTGGGGATTATTTAATTAAAATATAACAGAAAACTCAGACAAATACTTTCAGGAACTATGATTTCACAGATAGACACACAAACGTATATAATACCTCACCGTTTTCGTTGGGGATTATTTAATTAAAATATAACAGAAAACTCAGACAAATACTTTCAGGAACTATGATTTCACAGATAGACACACAAACGTATATAATACCTCACCGTTTTCGTTGGGGATTATTTAATTAAAATATAACAGAAAACTCAGACAAATACTTTCAGGAACTATGATTTCACAGATAGACACACAAACGTATATAATACCTCACCGTTTTCGTTGGGGATTATTTAATTAAAATATAACAGAAAACTCAGACAAATACTTTCAGGAACTATGATTTCACAGATAGACACACAAACGTATATAATACCTCACCGTTTTCGTTGGGGATTATTTAATTAAAATATAACAGAAAACTCAGACAAATACTTTCAGGAACTATGATTTCACAGATAGACACACAAACGTATATAATACCTCACCGTTTTCGTTGGGGATTATTTAATTAAAATATAACAGAAAACTCAGACAAATACTTTCAGGAACTATGATTTCACAGATAGACACACAAACGTATATAATACCTCACCGTTTTCGTTGGGGATTATTTAATTAAAATATAACAGAAAACTCAGACAAATACTTTCAGGAACTATGATTTCACAGATAGACACACAAACGTATATAATACCTCACCGTTTTCGTTGGGGATTATTTAATTAAAATATAACAGAAAACTCAGACAAATACTTTCAGGAACTATGATTTCACAGATAGACACACAAACGTATATAATACCTCACCGTTTTCGTTGGGGATTATTTAATTAAAATATAACAGAAAACTCAGACAAATACTTTCAGGAACTATGATTTCACAGATAGACACACAAACGTATATAATACCTCACCGTTTTCGTTGGGGATTATTTAATTAAAATATAACAGAAAACTCAGACAAATACTTTCAGGAACTATGATTTCACAGATAGACACACAAACGTATATAATACCTCACCGTTTTCGTTGGGGATTATTTAATTAAAATATAACAGAAAACTCAGACAAATACTTTCAGGAACTATGATTTCACAGATAGACACACAAACGTATATAATACCTCACCGTTTTCGTTGGGGATTATTTAATTAAAATATAACAGAAAACTCAGACAAATACTTTCAGGAACTATGATTTCACAGATAGACACACAAACGTATATAATACCTCACCGTTTTCGTTGGGGATTATTTAATTAAAATATAACAGAAAACTCAGACAAATACTTTCAGGAACTATGATTTCACAGATAGACACACAAACGTATATAATACCTCACCGTTTTCGTTGGGGATTATTTAATTAAAATATAACAGAAAACTCAGACAAATACTTTCAGGAACTATGATTTCACAGATAGACACACAAACGTATATAATACCTCACCGTTTTCGTTGGGGATTATTTAATTAAAATATAACAGAAAACTCAGACAAATACTTACTGCTGCAGATGCCTAACAGCCCATTGCACAGTAGATGGACAGGGAGGTGAAGGCATCATACTGAAAGCGTCACACGCTATTCCCAGCCTCAACCTCTTTATACTGAGCACCGGCTCCAATAAATTACTCCTCTGCAACTCGGGCAACATTCGCTCGTCAAGTTTCGATGCGCGAAATGACGTCATCATGTGGTAGCAAATGCCAGGCTGGCAACGACCGGCGCGACCACGCCTATAGATAAAAAATTTGATAAAACATTAATTACATGATGGCGTATACACTACAGGCCTTATGTGTACGCATCATATCTGAGGACATTCTACATCTTATTTCTGAGAGAGTTATGCAGCAGTTAGATCGTCGCTCTAATGTAGGGAACTTTAAAAGTTCTCGATTTTTTTTTATTTCACAGACTTAAAAGGCATGTGGTAATCAGCATTTAATATTGTAACTAACGATTTCATTGATGACGGCAGATATGGGATTCGGTTGCTCAAGTGCTATGCTATTTATTATACATTAAAAATATAGTTTAGGTGAGATATTCATATAAAATATATTAAGATATGTATACAGAGTTATTTTTTAATAACCGGCCAAATTTGCAAAGAAGGTTCAGAATAAATAATATTGGAAATTGGTGAAGAAAAATTAATTAAAAAAAAAATAACAACACATTACGTTCTTTTTATCTTTTGAATTCAAAATGCGTGGTACACATTCGTAAGGGTCGATCTATAGGTAAAAACGTTGTTGGCCATAATTCACATTCAATTTGGGATAACTTCAAATAAAAGTAGAAGCCCTATTTACTCGTATTTTCAAAAACTACAATGACGGTAATCATTATTATTTATATATTTAAAATTAAGTTTAATTTGCCTACTCTTTGAAAAATTACCCTGTATACATAAAAGAAATGTTGTGTCGGGGTATGATCTTATCAAATTGTAGCGGCTGTAATGTAAGATCCAGTCATGGTATAAGGCCGTCATTTTTGTTTTTAAACAAGAGTCCTTAAAAAAGTGGATAGTAAAAAATATGTGTATTTTCCTTGCTAATAACGGCGGTGAAATTGGACAATTTCAGTAATTATGAAATATAAAAACTTTTTTAAAATGATTAATTATTTATGAAAATAACTTAGCAACATGGTAGTGATAGATATATATTGTATTGCTAAGAAATATTTGCTCTTGTGCCATTACTCATTATCCAGGGAGAAAACAGAGGAATATGTTCGAATGGACTTAACGGCCATAACGCAGTCCGGCTGAAACTTAAACTAAAGCTTCCAAAAGGGACATTCATATAATTTAATAACATATCAGATAAATATAATTTACCTTTGTCGCAAATTAGCTTGCGAAACCCATTCGTTTTTCAGTGTTGATATATTATCCTCAACATTGAACCCGCTCATTTTAACCCTTCCACAATCGATCACATAAATAATATCATCTATGGTTATGGACGTTTCTGCTATATTTGTGGCTATTATGATTTTACGAACATTTTCTGGAGGCCTTTCGAATATTTTGTGTTGTTCAAGAGTCGGCAACTTAGAGTGCAGTGGGTAAATTTCGTAACAATTGCTAGTAAAGAAGTTGGTATCGTTCATCATTCTCAATAACTTAGATATTTCGCCGATACCGGGTAAGAATATCAGAACAGCGCCCGGATTTCCTTTACATATGTACTTTAAAAGTTCTAATATCAGCTCCAAGTTCATATCTTCAATTCTAGAGTCTTGAAGTGTCTTGTATACGTTCATATCAAGAGTTCTTTTCTTCGATTCTAACCACTCAGCTGAAATATCACAAAAATGCTAAGCTATGATATTAATAAATGATACATTTTATACAAATAATTATACTATTTATTGTTTAAACTTCGTCCGCGTGAAATATATTACAGTTGGATTTAATTTGTTTTGATTTTTTACGCGGAATCATAATTGTTTTTCTAAAATAAGGTAGCCTAAGTTACTCCTTACAACATCAGCTATCTGCCAGTGAAAGTCCCGTCAAAATGGGTCCAGCGATTTCAGAGATTAGCCGGAACAAACAGAATGACAAAAATTTTAAAAATTGTTTTTTTGTTATAAGTCCCGTATATACTTTAATATGTATTTAGTAAAATAATGTTATTTTGACATTACAAACAGATACTTCATTTATTTGTTTATTTTATATACAATATGTAACGTAATTAACGCACACCCTCAGACACCCCAATTAGTATATTATGTTATAATCATAACACATACATTGAATTTTTAGTTAAACATTTTTATGCACTGATTATTTATCAAATTATTTAATAACTAACAATACTGATTCCGGAAGAATGATGTGGTCACAGTACAAATCCACGAACGCAAAGACTTTAACGTGCTTGAAATAATGTTCATTTTTCTTTATTTTTATTGAATGACAGAATTAGTAATAATACAAATAAAACTGCACTCTTAAAAGTCTTATTGCCTTAAGTTACGGTCCTATTCAGTTTGTTTTTACTGTACAGATTTAGTGTGACTGTAATTTACGTAGTTTTAATTATTTTTGGGATACAAAATTACCTATATTAAAAATGATAGGAATCGATTCAGTAAACGATTCTGAACAAATTACTTTCTCAAAGTGCGTTAACTATGTTACATGTTGTATACATTTAACAAATAAATAAGAAAATATTTTTTATTAAATTACATGTTAGAGTGCTTAAATAATTTACCCTCCTATTACTTATTTATCTTTTTATTATTTTAGACATATCTACGCTTACAGGTCGAATCTAATTAAATTATTAAATAAAACCCGACCAACCCACTAAAAGGTATGTAATTAATTACATTTATTTATTATTCATTGATTACATAAGCACTGCCGGCATTTGAATTCTACTTAGTATCTCGTATAACTATAACAGTAATCACCATTATAGAAATTATATTTTTCGAAAACAGCACTTAATTCGTTAAGGGCCCAGTCTTGTAAAACTTAGTGTTCTCGCAAAATTTGCAGAAAAACAAATATTTTTTATAGTATTTCAAAAAGAAAAAGTAAAGCATATTTTACATTTATATAAAGTGTAAGATTTGAAATTTTCGAAACTGTTTTTTAATTTTATTCTGGTGTTTAAATTAATAGCTCTATTAGGCGTTAAACATGCCTATGTTTCGGTTACATGCGTAAAAGGTCTTATTAAAGCCTCTGCTATGTACAAACTATAACAAAATCAAAAAAAGTATTCAGATCACATTTATTTACATATTGTCTACAATAATCTGATCTGGGCATCATGGACTTTATGCCAGCGCAATGCTGGCATAAAGTCGGACCACCTCTTGTCCCGCTAGGTCCGCCGTTGTTCTGCACAAGTACATTCGTTGCCCAGCTGTTAGTCTCTGAACTGTGATGTAACATACCTATTTCAGCCTTATAGCGTATATCTTTCTCCATTTCTCCTGCCGCACGATTTCTATTCCTATACTGGTGCCATTTAGGTCGATTTTTTTGTTTTTGTGTTGTTGTTATACCCGGAAGTTTGTATTTTGTCAACTGAAGAATTTCCTCCATAAACACGTCTTTAACAGGATATGCTAATCCCTCTATATGCATAATAGAACAATTATCGTAATAAGCGGACAAATTCTCAGCATCCAGAGTAGCACTCATTAGGACAAGTTTCAAGTCTTTTCGCCTCTTTAATACCTTAAAGAAATCAGGAGTGTGTTATTTAAGGGGGAATATACTACCTCAAATGGCTTAGCAAGATCCTCCGTTATACCGAAAATATTGCAGCATTAATCTTGAAATAAATATATGGTAAAGTTGAGGATTAATGTTAAGTACTATGTTAGACGAAAACATGATTCCGTTATCCGGTATTCATAAAATACTTTAAATAAGATCATGAAACTTTGCATACTAACTGAACTAACTATAAAGCAGGGCTTATGTTTTTTATTTTTTTTAATTACCATTATTTTCACTGTAAAAAGAAATTACCTAAACTATCGGCGTCCTGAAACTTGTTTCCTGCCGCCCGGTTCCAAGTTTTAAAGTATTTTATGAATAACAGCGGTTTATTGTTCAGTTTGGAGGTAACTTTGGATTTTTTTCTATCGAGAAAATTTTACGGTATCATGTTTTCGTCTAACATAGTACTTAAAACATTAATCCTCAAATTTACCATATATTTATTTCAAAATTAATGCTGCAATATTTTCGGTATAACGGAGGATCTTGCTAAACCATTTGAGGTTATATTCCCCCTTAATTATAGATAAAAATATTATGTTAATGAAATCAAATCATATAAGAAAAAACAAAGAGGCTCTAAATATAGCTGCTGAGAATGAAAATATAATTAACATTAAGTCATTTTTTCGTCGTCGGCGGTCGAGCTGCTAATGAATGATATTTACATTAAAAAATGTATCATGAAAGGAAAAGAAAATAAAAGTGAATGCGAGGTATAAGTGATGGTTTTTGAATAAGACGAAAGTAAAACGGTATGCGAATCAAGAATAAAAGGGGAGTTAGTTAAGCTAGAGTGTTTAGGAGTCACGAGTGGTAGTAAATAATAAGGATATAGATCGAAGAGTAAATGTAGGACACGGGATGCATGGGACCCTCGACGTCATTGAGTTTGTGTATTGTGTCAAAAAAGGCACATAATGTAGCAATTCAAAATGCTCTGTTATTCTCTACATTTATGTTTGGTAGAAAAAGTTGGGTGTGGCAGAAGCATGAGAGTAAAATTATTAATGCTGTAATAATGCAGTCATTAAGAAGTATATTAGGTGTGTATATTCTCGACACAATTGATATATATAAGGTGAATATATAGGAGTACTGCAGTGAGACTAATATTTCTAGTAACTAGTAAGGCGGTTTATTAAGAACTAACGAACATAAGCATCTTTACTACGAACGTAAGTACTCTTTCCACTTAAAAGAAAGATCTAATCCAAGAAATAATCCTGTATAATTTTTTAAATTTATTTGCGTATTTGTCAGTATTATGCATCTATATTATGCACCCGCTGGACGAATGGTTGCACTGTCTGCAGGGAATTAGTAACCGGAAGAAATGTCTGCCAAAATGAATATAAGTTTAAAAGAGTTTAATAAATAACATATATAAATTTCAGATTTGTTATAGTGCCTTTGAAATTTTTTTTGAATATTCAAAAGTGGCTGCCGTGACGTCAGAACTGTTAAAATTGTCTGCCATAATTATTTTCCGATTACAGTAGAGTTATACAACGGCAGAATTGTTAAAATACTTTTGAAATTTACCCGATTTCCATACCTGTCACACCTGAGTGACTCCGAACCTACCATGGCCGGGCTTAGTTAGTCCCCATGTATTGATTAATGAGTATAATAGACTCACTGGACGAAAGATTTGTTAAAATATATGTTGTCTGTTTTAAGCTGGCTCTTAGACTATGTCATCCAATGAAAAAAAAATTTAAACTGGTGCAATAGGATTTAAAAACAATATTATAAGATAACTTGTTATGGTTAGTTCTTTTTTTTTTGGTTTCTTGTTACCTGTTTTAACATACACATAGATAAATCCACGTGACAATCCCTCTCATGTACTTCATCCAAAATTATATGACTCCAGTTAGTCAGACCCTGATTTACTTCTAATTCAACCAAAAGGATACCAGTGGTACAGTACTGTATACTACCACGGCTTCTCTCTTCTTTTCTGAAATTATTATAACAATATAAATGTCCTCCAGACCGGATTTCGGTCACGGCGGCCAGCCTCAACGAAGACTAACCCACGGCGCACAGGTGCACTCTATATTTTCTCACTCTCATAGTCCGATTGGAAGGTAAACCAAAACGACCGGAGAGAGATCAGGCGCAGGACCTACGGCTCTACGTGTTTTCCGAGTCACGGGGACACAGCCAACTTCCATACTTCGAACAGCAGAATTTCTTGACGGGATAACTCAATATAACTGATTTTTTTGGCCCGACCCAGGATTCGGACCGGATTATATGATAGCCAGATTCATGAAGAATAGTATAGGCGGCATACTATTTAGCATTAGGCTAGCCTACCTCCTTAAATATTAATTTTTGTTAAGCAAGTTGGAAGAAAAGGCGCTCCCGAACTGCTTTATCCGCGTACGCTGGCGTAATGGGTAGTGACACATACATACAATGTTCTACAAAAATATTGATCTTTACTCCATCTAAAAAAGTCCGCTATACCATATGCCGATTTTTTATACATAAGCCACAATAAGGTATTAAGCGATAAAAATATTGAAAATTAAAGTGATTTAGGAGCGTTATTATTAGGCATGGCATAATCTTTACGAGCGCATCTGCAATTCCCCTGGTGTTGCTGTCGTTCATGCGCGGCGGTAATCACTTATCATCAGGTGAACCGCATGCTCGTTTGCCCCCTCTCCAATAAAAAAAAACGAAGTTTACTTTTATAATCAATACAATTTTATGAAGATAAACTTTGCTCTTTATAACATGTTATTTGGGCGCGTAGTTTAAGAGATATAGAATTTAAAAAAAAACCTTTTTACTGGAAACAAGGCATTTCATCTTAGTCCTCAGGAAGTGACAACACATCTGCATTTTGATTCTAAATTGAGGATAAATGTAGATATCTATGGGCTACAGTATCCACTTACCATCAGGAGGACTATGTGCTCGTTTGTCACACTATGCTACAAAAAAAATTAAAATAAATCAACACTCGGCTCGGTGCGTGAACGATATATAAACCTAGCCACCCTATGAGATTTGAGAGAAACCCGCGCTGAACGCCTATCGAACGCTAACGCACACCGCGTTAATTACGTTACATATTGTATAGGCACCCCAATTAGTATATTATGTTATAATCATAATACATACACTGAATTTTTAGTTAAACATTTTTATGCACTGATTATTTATCAAATTAGTTTGTTTATACTAACCGCTTCCAGAAGAATGTTGTGGTCACAGTACAAATTCACGAACGCAAAGACTTTAACGTGCTTGAAATAAAGTTCATTTTTCTTTATTTTTATTGAATGACAGAATTAGTAATAATACAAATAAAATTGCACTCTTAAAAGTCTTATTGCCTTAAGTTACGGTCCTATTCAGTTTGTTTTGACTGTACAGATTTAGTGTGACTGTAATTTACGTAGTTTTAATTATTTTTGGGATAAAAAATTACCTATATTAAAAATGATAGGAATCGATTCAGTAAACGATTCTGAACAAACTACTTTCTCAAAGTGGGTTAATTATGTTACGTGTTGTATAAGCGTGGCTCACACACGTGATATACACCATTGAAACCGCGGAGTACAGCTAGTATCTTTATAATATAATCATAATAAATAAACACATTTGTTTTCATATTTGTATCTTGAAGTATAATACAAAGTAAAAACTGATGATACTTACCTTTCTAATCTCACTGAATACCCAACAGAATTACCCATCTCCTCTCCTCGTTCTTGTGCAACCCTCATGGCAAGAGAGGAAGCAGCTATCCTCCGTGGTTGAGTTACCAATATCTTTACATTAGCGCCTTTATTATTCTTTATAGCTTCATCTAATATAAGCTGTGGAATCTGAAAAACGAAATGAGTTATATATCTATCTATCTTCCAGCAGTACTTAATGAAACTTTTTCAATATTTCAATTATCAAAGAATAAAAAAATCACGGTAACAAGCGCCGTAGCAGCACAGGGACTAAGCGCACGCTGTAAATATCACGGTACACGAGCAACCCGGGTTCGATCCCCGCCGGCACAAATGATATTGTTAATTGCAATTTCAAGTGCTGATTTACCACGTGCTCGGCGGTGAAGGAAAACATCGTTAGGAAACCGGCATGTCGAAAATAAGAAAAAAAATCCACGACATGTGAAGTTCGCCAACACGCATTGGGGTAGCGCGACGGATAATTTCTTGTCCTTTAACCCACTCAGAAATGAGAGGAGGCCTGTGCCAAACAGCCGGATGTATAAAGGGTGTAACTTTAACTTTTAACGTTAAGGGTAAAATTAGTATAATATAGTATAGTACTCTTAGTATACCAAGTAAATAACATATTGCCTGCATCAGTCAAAATATTTTTATTCAAAACTGGCCATTACAAAGCCCTTTTTTTAATTCACAAAGCCAATGCTTCAGAAAGTACATACTGTGGGAGACCTTGTGAGAAGAAGCAGCAAGAAACTCATAAGTAGACTATTTTACTCCCAAGAGTTACAATTTATCCTTTTAACCTAAAAACCATAAGTAAAAAAATCTCAAGCTCATTATTTCCATACATTCTTATCTATATAGGATTAAGAATCCTTTTTGCATGCACTTTGAATTTATACAAAGGTAAATCAATAAATATTACTACCCAAAAATAAGCTGCTAGTCATAATATGCAGTCTGTACTTTGGTACAATAAGTTCAAATTTAATGCGTGTGCCAAAACTATGGACAAAACTTTAACATAATTTTTTATAACATGAATATATAGATACACATATACGATTATTTACTGAAGTTAATAGATGTTAGAAATTAGTTGAAGAATTAACTATTTTGTCTTACGCCTCCCAAAGATGTGTTTTTGGGGCCCCTAGATAGAATGTGACTTAGACTTGAACCTAATTGAGTGAGACAAGCATAATATATAAATGTAAAAGATTTGTGTCTTATGTTTTTACTGTAACTACAATTAAAACTTTATTTAGTATTTCATACAGGTCAAGCAGTTGAAGGTATTCTCAATGAGTGAAAAAGGATATAAAAATACTTGCTGTATTATGTTCTTCAGGAGGTCATTTCAAAAGCTATCATTTTTAAAAACCACTATTACAGTTTGCAGTCTTTGGTTCTTTTCTTCGGGTACAGGTGTACTATAGTTCACCTAAGTCTAGCCAAGCAGGGCCGAAGTAAATGGCCTGCCCGAGGCTTCAGGTGTGTATTGGTGGACTACTGAGGTTGAATTCGAGGCCATAGAGGTTTGTTGGTATGGTAGCGGGAGGTGAGGAAAAACAGCTTTGCGAGGCGCCGCTCAGTCTACTCTACTACCGCAGTTTCCAATATGTCATTAAAATCAAAATTAACATGAAATTGGCTGCAAGAGCCATAGAATAAAGGTGAACAAATCAACTTACATAAAATTCTTTTCTAAAAAAATATATTTTCTAGTCACAATGTCCTCCAGACCGAATTTCGATCACGGCGGCCAGCCTCAACGTAGACTAACTAACCTTTGGCGCAGAACAGGATTATAGTGGCATAGACCGCTGGGACAGTAAACCGACAAGACCGTAAAGAGATCAGGAGTAGGACCAACGGCTTTACGTGCTTTCCGAGGCACGGGGGTTAGACACCGCCAAATTCCTGACTCTGGGCAGCTACTGAGAATATCGTAAACTCAAAACTGATTATTTTTTGCCCGAAGCAGGATTTCAACCCGGGACTTCATGATCAGCACATCACACTACTTTATTTTCAAACACTAGACTACTAAACCAACAAGGCAGTTCTAGTTACAAGTACATTATTTATTACCATGAGGCCTGCCCCGTAGATTGTCTCATAGACATATTTTTTTGTTTTTGTTTTTTTTAACTATCACACAACGCCATCTAGTCCCAAGCTAAGCAGAGCTTGTGTTATGGGTACTAGACAACTGATAAATATACTTATATATTTCTAACTACATAAATATTATAGATAAAATACAACCAGACACAGGACAAATGATCGTGCTCATCACACAAACATTAAATGATTTTGTCCTGGGTGGGAATCGAACCCACGACCTCTGGCATAGCAGTCAGGGTCACTAACCACTAGACCAACAGGCCTAGTGTTGGTCTAGTGGTTAGTATTTATTATTACTATGTTTTCCAACCTCAAAACAGTCCTCACAACCTTTAAACAGTCACTCACCTGTGTTGATTTTCCACAGCCAGTCTCACCGCTAATGACAACAACTTGGTTTTTATTTATAAGACTTAAGATTTCTTCAGATTTCTTATATGTTGGTAATATTTCTCTGAATTTCAATAACCGCTTATAGCTATTTCTTGTAATCATTTCTTTGTATTCTTTATGAAAAGCATGACTAAGTTCATTTGTAAAATCGTCTGTGACATTTATACTTATACCTTTAGACAGACATTTCTCAAGCTTTTCGTCAAAAGTACCTGTGATTATATCGTCATATCCATATTTGTAACATGAAGAGGTTCTAAGAGATAGTTGTCTTACATTGTTATTAAACTGTATTTGATTTTCTGCTTTAACAGGTACGAAATCAGGGAGAGAAGAGGTACTTGGCTTATCATCCATAATCAAACAATCTGCTTCTTCTATCGGTTCTTGTTTTATATCTATTGATAATTTTTCATTTTTTTCAAGTTCTGTACTATTTTCCCTTACTTTTTTTTTTAACACATTGAGTGCCAAAAGTTAGCGTCATAGTGAAATCGGTGGCCACCATACAAATGGTGTTCTACGCATTATTACGTAGCTGGCACCCACTAGAAAAAAGTATCCCATGGATGCCAATCTACGCAATAGTACGTATTCGTAATATTACGTAGTCCGGCACCAATTACAACCCTTTCATCATATGATGCCAGTCTACGCAATATTACGTATTCATAATATTGCGTAGCTTGGCATCTCTGTTACTTACTTTCGTCCTGTTTACTCCTGCATTGCTAGGTGATTTTTTTCAAACCATTTTGTGGATTCATTAGTGCAAGCAACATACAACTACACAAAAGGCACAAAAGGGTCTGTACAAAAACATGCCCGTTTTAGGTATTGGAAAGATACTAATCAGGAAGAAATGCGTAAATTCATTGGTATGTTGCTCTGTATGGGACTCGTTCGTTTACCTACTATAAGTCATTATTGGAAAATAGATCCACTGTACTGTAAAAGTTACCAATTTTTAGAAAACTTATGAGTGGAAATCGCTTTCAAATATTTCATTTTTCTGAAAGTGATGACACAGCAACACCAAGACTGCATAAAATACAACCAATATTAGATCGTTTGAACAATATCACGTATAAGATATATTACCCACAAACTGATTTAAGTATTGATGAATCGATGGATTTATGGAGAGGAAGACTGATTTTTCGTCAATATATAAAAAATAAAAAAACATAAATATGGCGTGAAACTGTATGAACTTTGCGAATCATCAGGAATAGTTATGAAGATACGTGTTTATAGAGGAAAGAGTGAGAAGCCGCCACCAGAAACATATTACCGAAGTTGTATTAGATCTAATAGAAGGGTATTTAGACAAAGGCCATGTTATCTACGCTGACAATTTTTATAACTCACCGGATCTAACAAGGCGTCTTAGTCAAAGAAAAATGTACATATGTAGTACTCTTCGAAAGATCCGCAAGAACATTCCTCTAGACGTAGCCAACGCTAAGTTCAACTTAGCGTTGGCTACGTCTAGACTTGGCTTGGCAAAATGGCTGCAAAAGTATGCAATGACATTACTGTTTGTAAGTAGAAAGACAAACGCGACGTCTTAGTGATTTCCAACAAACATAAATTGCAGTTCGTGACAGTAAGAAAAGGAACGGGAAATTGTCGTTGAAGCCTACTATGGTTGATGACTACTATCGTTGATGACTACAACCTGGGGATGTCTGATGTGGACAGAGGAGACCAGATGGTTTCATACTACTCGTGCCTTAGAAAAACTCTTAGATGGCATAATAAATTGGCATTACACATTTTTGAAGTTTAAGTCCAAAATGCCCATCGATTACTTCACGTCAATGATCATACTTCGAAAATGCTTCTGATAAAGTTTCGTGAAGATTTCATAAAATATCTCATGGGACTTTATTTGAATCCAGCAGCAGTGTCATTCGGGTCATCATGCGCAGCATCTGTACAACCACAAGATGCCCAAGACAAACTTCAACTTATACCTTCGTCGTCGTTACAAGGGCCCTCTGAACCACCTCGATCGCCTGCTAATGTTGCGAGTCGCTTATCGACAAACGAAGGTGCACGAGTTCCATTGCAAAACTTTCATTACTTATCAAAACTACCACCCACCGCTAAGAAAGCCTTTCCAGCTAAACCTTGCCGCGTTTGCACAAAAAACAAGAAGCAAAGGGAATCATCGTTTGTGTGTGCTACTTGCCCTGAAAAGCCTGCCTTATGTGTAAATAATTGCTTTAAAATTTTCTATACTGACCCTCGTATTGCATAGCTTATTTTAATTTTTTTGTTACGATTCATTTTTCATTTCATTAGAAATACATTTTCTAAATTTATTTTAAAATAAATAATTACTACTTTTGTTATAAAAAGTAAACTTAATATGAAGTATCTCATTAGAAAACTAATATTTTTCACTAACATTGCCTAAGAAAGCATGTCATTTGTGAAATATAAAAGAAATAAAGTTAATATTTTTCTGTCTCTTATTTTATTTAAGAGGCCAAAGAACATAAAAATATGCAATACAGGGTGCCAATTAATATAATTTACCATTTATGGGCTATGGAAGATCTACGTAATATTTCGTAGTTGGCTTCCACCATTGTTTCAACCTACGCAATATTGCGTATTTGGCACTCAATGTGTTAAGCACCTTTGCTTTCTTTGTACCTTTATTAAAAAAGTCTTTAGTACCAAAAATAGAAGATGTAATTATTTGGGGCAGCTGGATGTCTTGCTCTTTTGCAACATGTATTATTTCTTGCAGATTACTTATAACTGATGCAATTACAGGGTTGGGAATTGTCAAGGATATCTAAAATTTTAGAATTATACACCATGTTAGTAATATTGTATGACATATATATAATAATAGTAAAATTACAACCTATATTACATATCCCACCCACTGCTTGCCACAGGGTACTCTTTTTTCTGCAGAAGCGCTACTGCAGTGTGTGGTAATGGACTTAGATATCTTTGAAACATTTTTATTTCTCAGACTTACAGGTTTTTTCACAATGCTAAACTGCTTAGTTTATTTTTAATCAGCACTCAATATTGCCAATTAACAATTTTATTGGTGCCAGTAGAGATTTAATATGAGTCACTCACAAACTGCAAATTTCATAAGTTCTTAGCCTGGGAAGGTTAAGTTGAGGCCGCAAACAAGTGAAGGAAATAGACTATTTAGTTTTAAATTAACTTACTCTTCATTCCCTACTCATTGAAACTTATCTACTTTATTTAGTTCAGTCCAAACGTTACACTATTAATACAGGTAAATAATAGTCCAATCTACATGCACTACAATTTAAATATAATAAGAAGTCATAGAAAAAAATATATCTATCAAAGCTACAAATAACGGTCCCCAGCAGCCCTGCTGTTCTTGATTCCAGTGGCAGTCATGTTTTTTTTACTTATTATAAGCCAGTACTTGACCACAATGCTACCTGGTGGTAAGTTTTTTTTTATAGAATAAGAATGACAAACGAGCACACAGTCCACCTAATGGTAAGTGGATGGATGCTCTGGCCTATAGACATCTACATTTATCCTCAATTAAAAATCAAAATGCAGATGCCTTGTCACCCCTGAGGACTAAGATGGAATGCCTCATTTCCAGTAAAAAGAGGGTCTCCAGATCTCTACACTCACCATCACGAAACACAGCAGCATTAAGCTGTTATTTTACGCTGGTATTCTGTGAGAGTGTGGTCCTTCCTCGATCGAACTGACCCATTCGTGCTACAACTGTAATATAGTTGCAGCGTGGCTCTACCATGTACATAGGTGGTGATGAAGCCCTAGGCGGTCAATGTAAAGTAAAGCAATTGGCTCAGAACCATACTTTGCGGCAATCCATGGGGGAGGTGTATGTTCAGTAGTGGGTTTGGTGATGGGCTGTGATAGTAGTAGCGGTACATATTTTTCTTTATGGTTGTCAGTTATAAATCCAGCTGTGTAAGTATGTATAAAAACTAAATTACAAAAATCAACTTATCAAGTAAGACTTGCAAATAAAAAGATTTTTAGCCAATTACACTGGTTGTCTGGAAGAAATTGCTATCAGCAATAAGACCGCCCATTGCATACTTCTTTTGTATATATAATTTTTATATAGTGTACTTACTTACTTATCTTCACGCACAATCCCTAACGGGGTAGCCAGAGAGAACAGATCGCCAAGTGTCACGATTCTTACATACCTCTTTCGCTTCTTTCAGATTTAACTACTTCATACATGCACGTCTAGGTATCCGAGTACTCTTGACCTTCCCCTCTTCGACTAATTTGTTAGTCTCGGTCTACCTCGACACCTTTTAATATTTACTTTCGCGCTATATATTTTTTTCACCATTCGGTCTTCACTCATTCGCTCAACGTGCCCAAACCATCGGAGTACGCCCCTATCAATTTTTGTGATAAGGTCATCTTTCAATCCTGCCATATTGCGAATCTCTTCGTTTCGCTTTCGGTCGGCTATGGTAACGCCGCACATTTTACGAAGAGATCGCATCTCCACTGCATTCAACTTGCTTTTATGCTTCTTCTGGCATACCCAGGTTTCGCTGCCATATAACAAAGTCGGCACCAACACTGCGTTATGTATTGCAAGGCGTGCACTCTTCACTACGCCTTGCCTTTTGACTAACGCATTCAGGGCACCATTGACTTTGTTCCCGGCAGCGACACATCTGTCCACATCTAAATCACATCTTCCATCCCGGCTGAAAGCACTCCCCCAAGTATACAATTTCATTTACCTGTTCTAGACATTCCTGATTTTATATAGTGTACAATAAAGATACACTACAATATTAAATAAATAAATAAAAACACAAGGTAGGACTATATTTTTTTACCTAATTACTAGGGATGGGCCGAATATGGATTTCACTGAATACGAATATTCGGCTGAATGTTGGGTAAAACTTTTACCGAAGCGAATATTCGGCCGAACATTATTCGGCAGGATTACCTCGGTACCCAACCAATTTATGTCGAAACTTGTTACCGTAAAGCTCGCTCGCTCGTATTAGCTTCGGGCCCTGCCCCTCGCTCCCATGCTGCACCTGATAGTTATTGCGTCATCTGAGCAAATTGCCGGCACATACTTATGTTTTGACTATTCTTGTGATAAAAAAAGTATATAGTTTGTTTTATTCTTAGTGTAAATTGATTATTATATAATAAAAACGAGCGGTAGGAGATTTACTATTTGGACTTATTTTAGAGAAACTGACAACCAAAGTAAAGTGAAATGTACTAATGTAATGTAATGTTTCTTTGTTTGATTCCAAAAACATTTTATCAAATTTCTATTTGCTATAATCGGAAATAAATCCACAGTGCCTCAAAAACATAAATGTATAAATTTATGCATTTGAGGCACTCTAGACTAGAGTAAGTACGAGTAGAATAAATAAAATATACTTTCAACAATAAAAGAAATTGCATTACTCAATTCGTACATTACAATACATTGGACACTATGAAAATGTTCGTTCGGTTCGAATGGTCAGTGATTTAGCCGAATATTTGGTAAAGCTGCCGATTATGCCGAATATCGAACATAATACGAATATTCGGCCCATCTCTACTAATTACTGATATTTTGCACAAACTTTAAATCCTTCAAATCGCAAATCCATTACTTTATTTACTTTACTACTTTATTTACTTATTAGTCATTCTCATTGATACATTTTCTTTTAACAGAGAGAATTATATTCCTTGATCATTCTGATCTACTTAAACTTAAATCTACTGAACTAAATGAAATAATGATTGAGTTAACTACTTTATTGAACAAAAAGATACATATTGTGCACATCCTACCCCTGAGCTATAAAGGCTATGACAACTTGTAATATATTTATAAAAAATTATGTTTCAACCCTACACTAATTGACGTTTGACATCAATCATTTGTCAAATTTATTTTGTAATTACGTGTTATTTGCCAATTTGTATGAAAAGTTTAAAAAAATATATCTCATGAACCGTAAGTTTCTGCAACCTAAAACTTTCTGCAACTGCAAAACGCTTTCTTTTAGTGAGTACTATCTACAAAAAAAATATGGGCTTTGAAATCGATGGTCCATATTGGAAATATGAGCCTACTACTATTTGACGCTGGTATTCTGTGAGAGCGTGGTCCTTCCCTGGTCGAGCCGACCCATTCGTGGTACAACTATACTACTAATATAACTGCAGCATGGCTCTACCACATAAAAAAAAGTTTGGAGTTATATATCATTCAATTTCAATGAATATACATATATCATTCCTAAAATATCAGAAATTTTAAATTTTAAACAATATTTCCACAATATTTCTTTTGCGACAGTAATGCACCAGGTACCAGCTAGTAATGAATAAAATATAACACTATTTAATATATTCAAAACTAAACAGCTTAATAATCCAGCCTGTAAAATCGCAAGTCCTTAGTCTGGAATAGAGTCACATTTTAAAGCTTAAATTTATTTACGATATAAATTTATATTTATTATATATTCATTCATATTTTTAAAGATTTTTGTATTATACGGTGAAGCGAATGTAACGTTTTGAAAGAGGTACTAACAATATTTTCTTTTTTTTGTTTCACATCCTTTCGAAGTCTTTTAAAATATAATCCAATTTCCCGCCCCTTTAAGCCTGGTGGAAGTGAAGATCTCTCGTTTCTGTTGCTATTCCAATTTGGGTGATCACGTTTATTCCAATTAGAATTGTTTCGGGACATGGCAGTATATCAGTTTAAAATAAAGAGAATATATATAATCAATATTCAATACAAATAAGCTACTGGACTCAACCAAAACAATTACAGCCACAAACTAACATATAATGTACTCTGTGAAACTAACTAAATAGATACACCCGTAATTGCAGCCAATTACAGCCATGTGCAATGTGCATGACAGTGACATCAGGCTTGATTAAAAAATATCGATATATCGAAATATAGATTTTTTCTCATAAAAATATTAACATATATAGTCAACATTTTTAAATTTCGATACATCGATATTCGTATTTAGTTTGGAGTATCGATTTTGTATCCATTTCAATATATTTTAAAAAGTTGTTTTAATCGACAAAAACTAAGCAACACAAGAAGCAGAAAGAGAACCATTTCCGTCTAAAATCAGTGCTGCCAAACTCCAAATTGAAAAACTATTTATTTTTAGTGATTTTTCGCCAAAAATCGCTAAAAAATAAATAGTCGCTAAACGATAAAAAATATCGCTAAGAGCTCTGAAAAACCACCAGATCTGGTGACAAAATCACTAAGGTGGTAACACTGGTTGTTAACGAGAGACTTGTTGACGATAAATCCGACACCTCCTTGCTGCAGATGGTTGCCTCCCGGTGATAGAACAAGTTACCGGATTCGAGAATCACCGTGCCCTCCACCTCTCTTTGGACTTCCGATAATCCTACAATATTCCAGCGCAGCTATGAAGCCCGAGAAATAACCCCTTCATGTTATCCCACATCTTCAACGCATCTCCATTTTTATTTTGTATATACGGAATTTATACTTTTGAATAGTTTGTTTTGTTGATTGTGAACGATATATCGCAGTTTGAATAAATCGATGTATCGTTTACATCCTTAGTGCATCGAATAAGTGCCCTAACTGCCGTTAGTATTATTACACTACTCGGTAGTACGGGCACTACGGACCGGGTCCACTATGACGCCCTAATTAGAGACCCTTACTTGCTTACTTTACTACCCTTACTGCCTTACTCTTATTACTTCTCTCTTAGTGAGGGTTTAGGAACCCTGATTCGTGTAGTGTAATAGGGCTATTAGTGGATTTTCCACTATCCACTAAAACTGGTGATTGATTGATTTTTAGTGGCTGGTGTGTTTTCTAGTGGTCCAGTAGAATTCAGTTTTAATTAGTAGTAACCATTAAGCCACTTACGCGTTTCGAAATATATTCTTACTTCATTTTAGGAGTATTTACTTTTACTGTCTGGCCAACAATGATTCGTCAGACATGATATGATTAAGACGATCCATCCCGGTGGAATTCATATTTCATACGTATTACGTACTACTATTATGTATTCTGTGTATTTTAGGAATTAGCGACTTTTGCGATTGCTCTCATATATATTTTCGCGTACCCATATCCATGGTGGGAGACTATTTAGCAGTATGAATGTAATAAAAAATAAGAAGAGATGTTGCAGTGAAATTGAAATTCCAATATCGTTGTACAACAAATTTGTGCCCAAAAATCTAAAACTGAAAATTATGGTGTCGACAAAAATAATTAATCTGAAGATAACGATTCAATTTAAAATAGCAGTTGACAAAATAAATAATATATTCTTGACGTTGACTTGTTGATTTATTAATTGCGCGTTGATTATTTACATAGAAATTGAATTTTTGCTACACATTTAGAGTTACAACATTTTAAAAATTACAACTGATATAGTTTTTAAAATTTCCTGAAAAATTCAATTATGTTAAATAAACATTATTGTTACGGACTTGAGGTTCGTGACAATAAAAATTGCCGATAGAATTACCTAAATTAACACTTTAATTCACTTTACACTAATTAAAGTTAAAAACACTAATAATTGATCACACTGATTCACTTTATTCCACTCCGAAGCTTCGCTTGTCTCGCCAACTTCACTGCTTCCCCGATCGCACCTTGCAGCGCCTATAAATACACATTAGTACCGAATCATCCAGAACATTCAAGTAAATAGGCGCACCAATCGACAAAGCGCCGAAAGTTCGAGAGTCAGCTTCCAGAAGCTTAGTTCTTCGTTTCGACAACAGATGGCGCTGTCGGTTGAAATATTAGTGATGTCATTTTCTGGAAAGCTCTCACCTCGCTCCGTTACCCGACACTAGACGGCGCTAGTGCCAGATGTCAACTTAGCCGCGCAACATTATTATAAGTATAAGTACATCTAAAAATTAAAAAAAAATAACTATGCAGATTTTCATTAATATTTTTTTGTAATAATTTGCTTGATAATTTAATCCAATATTGTTAGGTATCGATTTCATTGTCATTATTTTTATTACTTCTATTATAATTTTTTATCTACTGGTATATCATCATGAGGCCTATGTTCAGCAGTGGACTTGTGAAGGGCTGTGATGATGATATCATCATATAAATTTGTTGCGTTCTTAACAAAAAATTAAATATAGTGCTATATATTTCTCTATTATTATGAGTACATATTACTCTTTTGACTTCATCACGAGTTATAGTACGGTTAACAAAACGTAATTTTTCATTACCAAGTATTTTTCAAACCAAGTAGTGACAGTGTAAGAATATCTACTACCATATGTGATAAAGCGAAACAAATAGGACATGGGCAGCAGCGTCTTCCTAATAACTACTAGAATAGAAAAAAACTACACTTGCCTACACACACACCTAACTATGGCAAAAATATAGTCCCCCTATGAGGCACGCCTTGCGCACCGAGCATATAATTGATACACAGAAGAAACAGTGTTGGTGATAGCATATAGCCTTGTGGAACACCAGAGTTAATGGGCTTGTAATCCGAGCATGCACCGTCTACTGCGACCATGTTGCTCCAATCTGCAAGAAAATTGGTGATCCAATTGCACAATTTCTCGGGAAGCCCATAGAAAGGCAGCTTCGTAAGAAACGCTTTGTGCTAAACCCGATCGAAGGCATTCGCTGACTCCAAGCTTGGACCCTATTGCCTCCGCTCATCTAATATGAGTTAGGTCACCCAGAAGTTCACCAGCTAAGCGACTCCGACGGAAACTGTACCGGCGGTCACTAATCAGCTGATGATCCTCAATGTACCTCATGAGCTGGCAGTTAATAATTGTTTCTATTATTTAGGAGAACAATGAGGTGATAGCGATAGGTCTGTAGTTGGACGGAGCTGAGCGGCCGCCCTTTTTAGGGATCGAGTGCACTAAAGCTGTCTTTCGTGAAATCGGGACCACCTACCGGAGCAATAGAAAAGACGCATTAATACCAGTGCCAACACCGGAGCACACGTCTTCAGCAAAATAGGAGGAGTGCCATCAGGCCACTCGACTTGTTGACGTCCAGGGAGGGAGTGCTTTGCGCACTAAGCGCTGGGTAAACAGCACATCCTGTACGGAACATTCACACCGCAGAATGATCGGCAGTGTGTTCCTCCCGTCATAAAGAGTCGAGTTGGACGTAAAGAGTGAGCCACCAGCAGCAGATCGGTTTTGTCCTTTGCGGCATGGGCTAGTGAGTCGTTCTCCCTGTGCAGATATAGGAGAGATGGCTGACAAATGTGCTCTGAATTTGCCTTGGCAATGACACTTTTGAAGTACCTGGAGGCGAAATTATACTTCTTTTTAAGAGCGCTGGTATTTACATCCTGAGACGTCGATGCGTCAGCCCAGGCCCGGTAGCACTCCTGCTTACGGCGCGATGTAATTTTGCAGGAGCGACCAAAGCAATGCTGGGTTCTGCCTTCGACAGGTGATGGAATAAAAAATTCCATTCCCTGTAGCACCACATCAGCGTCAGAATCGGCAAAAACGCCGGGAACTTGTAAGGAGCAACCCCGCCCCCAAGTGTAAGATTCAAAAGAAGATCGCATCTCGTCCCAATCAGCTGAGCTATAGTGCCAAACACGGCGGTAGCCTGCAGAATGCAACAGCGACGGTAGTGTGAGTGACACCGTACTCCAGATCAGACAATGGTCCGAGGAGCCAAAAGGGGCATCGAGGGAGACCCGATATCCGTCCGGAGGAGAGGTCAGCAGAAAAACTAACAGGGAAGATACATGATCTTCCACAGCTGGGATTCGCGTAGACGAGGTAACCAGTTGTGTCGGACCATATGCCAAAGCAAAGTAATAAACAGATCTACCCGCATGATCGCCTAAACAGGAACCAAGCCAATCAGTGTAGTGGGCATTAAAATCACCAAGCATCGCGAACTCTGCGAATGGGACCTGTTGTAGTATGGTGTCTGCAGCCATTTAAACGTGGTTGATGAGTCGGTCTGTGTCGACATTGCCGCTATGGGACCTATAGAGGCACCCGTGGACGCGAGAATGATCGTCGCTGTCTACACGCAGCCATGGGATGGACAGGTCCGTACTTTCAAGATTGCCGAGGCCTCGAAAACAGATGTCCTCTCTGACGTACCGCTCGAGCTGTACTATTTATTTGTGTTTAATTTCATTCATGTTTAAAAACTGTAGCTAATTTCTATTTACAAATTATAAATCACATTTTATGTATTATAGTACGTGTGGGTAATATGGTCATCCGGTTAATATGGTCACTCTCTTACAATTCAAGAACTACAGCTTTATTTGCATAGAAGGCTATATGATACGATAGCTCTTCATCAGTCGATCAAATAAAGAAGAGTCGAAAGGACGCAGCTTTATCGACGCCATTTTAACGGTCGATTTTGTAGTAAATATTTTACTTAGTCGATTTTAGTATGGCGTAATGTAGTTAGCTTTTATTAAGTTGATTTTCAAAGTGCTCCTAATTATTTCCTAATTGGTTTTGTATCTATCCTTCTCCTATTTTTGTTTGTATAGGGCAGCAAAGCTTAAGATGACCATATTACCCTCATGCACATAACATACATACATAAACACTCACGCCCTTCACCCAGAGGGGTAGGCAGAGACTACAGACTTCCATTTGGCACGATCCTGACACACCTCTCTCGCCTCCTTCACGTCTATATACCTACGCATACAT